CATCTGGCCTGTTCAGTTACTGTGGACCCACAGCCAGGGCAGGGACAGGGTGTGGTCAGAGGAGACCCTGCCACCTCACCGCTCAGACTGGGAAACCCAGGCCAGGGAGGAAGCGTGCCTTGTTCAAGGTCACCAGAGCACCAAGGCGGAGCTGGGCAGAACACAGCCCTCCCGCAGTGCGAAACCCAATGCTGTGTGTCAGACTCAGGCCCATGCTCACCCCGGAACTCAAGGCCACGCAGCTGGAAGGTGATGAGGCCGTTGCCAACCTCGATGAGGTGCACCAGGGCATTGAGGTAGTCGGAGGCCAGGACAAAGCAGTCCCCGGGGCCATAGTTGCCCCAGCGGCCCAGCACCAAGTCCCCACACAGCGTGTGCTGCAGCGAGCGTGTTAAGTGCTCATAGAAGATGGAGTTGAGGTTGTTGTCGTCAGCGCCTGAGACCCCGCACAAATAAAGGGACAAAGTGATCAGTGAAGCTCCCTGCCCAGGGAGGCCCCACCCTACAGCCCCCTGGATGCCAGGTACACACCGGGGTTCCGGTCCAGCTGTGTGACCAGGCGGGTGTTGGAATGATCCACACGTTTAGTGCTGTTCAGAGAGAACGAGCATGGCACAGTTGGCCAGGAGGGTGAAGCTGCTCAGGGTTCAGATGCCAATCCCACTGGCCCACCCAGCCTCTCTGTGACCAGGCCACTGAGCCTCAGGGAAACAAGGGGGCTCACCCAGGACCACATGGCCAGGAAGCGTTGGCATGGTTCAGGTTTCACCTTCATCAGATCAGCCACCCGAAGCCCACTGTGCCCAGGCACTCAGCACCCCATCCAGCCTGGGCTCCAAATTCTCCCACCCTCCCAGCAACCTTCCCGCCTGGCAGCTCTGCTTCCCCCAGGGTCCCTAACTGACGCGGCCATCTTCCATGAGACTCACTTGTAGTCACGCTCCCAGAACTTGAGGGGCCGTGCGTAGGACATGATGAAAACAGCGCTGCCCAAGAGGGGGTTGAGTGGGGTGGAAAAGAGCGCAGAGAGCAGGGCCTGAACGAACAGCATGGCCGAGTCTGGGCACAAGTCAAGGAGGCAGCAGGTACACAGGAGCCTCCCCAGCTTCTCTCACCACCCCTCAACCCCTGCCAACCTGCCCCGCACCCCTGTATCCCAGGCCACAGCCTTCCCCTCACACCCCAACCCAGGCAGGGCAGTGGGGGCAGGTCGGGTACGTGGCACAGCAAAGGGCTGGGCAAAAGCGTGGAAAGCCGAGCCCCAGGTGATCTGCCAGGGCGCGATGTAGGTCAGCACAAAACGCAGCTTGTACAGCAGGTCCCACAGCTGGCAGGGTCAGGTTGGGGAGAAGCAAGAGATATACAGGTCACTCACAGAGGCGGGGTCTACCGAGTTCCCCACTGGCTGCCCACAGGGGAGCCTAGCTCAAGATCCCTCCCAGCCCTGTCTCTCTGGACCTGTCTCAAAAATGCCTGTTGCAGTGAGCAACACCCAACAGAGCAACCACTCAAATGGGGCATTAGCCATTTAGTTCCCACAACCACCCTAGGAGCTCCCTATTACTGTCCCAGCTCACAGGTGGAAAAGCTGAGGTTCAGAGAAAGAAGAGCAGGTAAACAACTTGCTCAGGCCACGACACTCGGTCACTGATAAGGGGCCTTGACTCTGGCACTGAATGTCAAGACAGTCAGAGGCCCTGCCTGCAGAGGGGGACAGACTTTGGCTCTCTACCATCCTGGGCCAGAGCAGAAAACCAGACTAACTATCTTAATTGCTTGTGAAGAAGGTGGTTAAGTACCGTGATTTAGAGAAAGGGCTGTAAAGTCAGACAGACCTGGATTCAAGTCCTGGCTAGCCACCACCTCTCTCGGGGACCCAAAGCAAGTCACTTAACGTCTTTAAGCCACAGCTCCTCTCTGCTCAGCAGAG